TTTTGCCTTAACCACGGCCTAGCCAACCGATGCAAAAACCGACTGAAAAATCCAAAGTTCTCCAAAATAAAAACCAAGTGTTTAAAACACTTATTTGATGTATTTGGCTAAGAAATCAAGTGAGACACTTTAAAAATCACGTCATTTGAGTAAAAACCATGGCTAGCCAAGTTTACGCCGTTTTGCGTGGTTTTTGTCAAACGACTAAAAGCGAGAGATGGTTTTCAAAGTGTTTTTGCTGGAGAACCGTTTAAACAAGCCAAAGAGTGAAAGCAGATCATAAAATGCTGAAAACCACTTGGTTGGTTCGGATGCCAAAAAAACCAAACCCGACAACCAAAAGCCGAACGCTTGTTTCTGAAAGCCGAACACTGGATGGCTTGGTTTTTGGTTTGGGCGAACACCAAGTGTTTTTAATGACTTAAACAAGTTTAAAACCATTTTTATGATGTAAGAAATGCAATGAGAGTTTTTAGCCTAAAGAGCCAAGGTGTAAAGATTGGGTCGGTCTTGATCACAATAAAGACCGACTCAATACTATGATTAAGGTCTTCGTTCTTGGTCTTCCTTTAGCTCTTGCTCTTATCTTCATTCTTCGCCTTGTATATTCAATGTTCGACTTGATCACAACGGTTTGGCATTATAAAAACCTGTTACAAAAACGAACACGGCTTTAGTACGAAAACGTGACAAGCCCGTGTTTAAACAATATTGGCTTCCCAGCGATGTATGGACTTTACCCAGCGCTGGTAGGCCAATTTTCCTTCAGTTTTGAAGCCAACGGTCACCTACCCATCGATGGGTACAAGCTTCCCATCGCTGGGTGGGAGGTTGACTTCCAAACAAGGAAAGAATCAACCTTAAATGACTTACAACGGTCATGACTAACCAGCGATGGGTATGCCTTCCCATCGCTGGGTTCCCATCGATGGGTGAAGGTCCCCATCGCTGGGTAAGGTCGTTCTACCTTGTGTTGATGTTGGACCAAGGCTTTAACAGCGATGGGTAGAACTTCCCATCGTTGTTTGGCATGGTTCTGGAACCGTGTTGGGCTAAAGGACCGCTTACCCATCGATGGGTAGATCTTCCCATCGCTGCGTGGGTGGTTAGTCAAAAACCCATGGTTTTTGCCTTAACCACGGCCTAGCCAACTGATGCAAAAACCGGCTGAAAAATCCAAAGTTCCCCAAAATAAAAACCAAGTGTTTAAAACACTTATTTGATGTATTTGTCTAATAAATCAAGTGAGACACTTTAAAAACAACGTCATTTGAGTAAAAACCACAGCTTAGCCAAGTTTATGCCGTTTTGGGTAGTTTTTGCCAAACGACCAAAAATGAAAGGTGGTTTTCAAAGTGTTTTTGTTGGAGAACTGTTTAAACATGCAAAGGAGTAAAAAAAAATCATAAAATGTTGAAAACCACTTGGTTGGTTCGGACGCCAAAAACCAATGCTCATAACCGAATGCTGAACGCTAGTTTCTGAAAGCCGAACGCCAGATGGCTTGGTTTTTGGTTTGGGTGAACACAAGTGTTTTTAATGTTTTAAAAATGTTTGAAAAACATTTTTATGATGTAAGAGATGCAATAAAAAAGGTTTAGCCTAAAGAGCCAAGGTATAAAGGTTTGGTCGGTCTTGATCACAAAAGTGACCGACTCTGTAACGCCCCAAAAATAGGCCTATCAGAGTTAATTAATTTATAATTAATTAATTACTGAGAAGGACCCAAAAGTAAGTAAATTCTAAAGTTTGTCAATAAATAATGAAAATCATATCATTATGTAGAGTTTGACTGTCTGATCCCAACGGTTCAATCGGATTTCAATTTGGAGAAAGTTGGAACAAAAAGTGTACCCTAACTGGGACCAAATATTAGTCCCAATCAGGGACTACACACCAAACGGCGCCCTGTTCAATTACGCCGATTCCAAATCGCCGCACAATCACGGAAGTAACCAAGCCTGTGTCTTCTTCTTCTTCTTCTCACGGCGCCTTGTTCCTTGCTGAGAGTAGAGTGCAGTGGTGCTGTCATCTTTGTGTGAGGTCGCCGGAGCAGTAAGATAGAGTCGCCGGAAGTTTCGCCGGAAAATCGTCAAAACCTCCCTTACGCTTTGAGGTAAGCCCCTAGATATATCTAATGACTA